TGCCCACTCTCCTTTACTCAACAAAAATTCCCTGGGTATCTGATATATACCTGATACTGGTCTAGGAGCTGGGGATACTACAGTGTACAGATGGTCGTCACCTCCACATAGTTTTCATTTGAGCGGGCAAAGGGGGATAACAAACAATTTTAACAAGTAAATGCTAAGTATAGTAAGTTAGGTGGTTATACTTGCTAAAAAGAAAAATAGCACATACTAAGGGTGAGAGTGAGCGAGAGCTACCACTTTACACTGTGTGGTAGGGTACGATCTCCCTGAGGAGCCATGGGGACAGAGACCTAGAGGACAGGAGGACAGAAGGTATAGGCCAGGCATACCTAGAGGAAGACGGACAGTAACCAGTGCAAAGGCCCTGGGCGGGGAACATGCTCGTTGTGTCTGAGGAATAGCAACACAAAAAATAGTGTTTGTAATTATTTGTGACTGAGCAGAGTTTCCTGACATCTTCAAGAATTAATGGGCAAAATGATATTGGGTATGTGAATTTCAGAGTATGGGGAAGGAATGAGGAGAGCTCCCCATTAATACTCAGCACACAGATTAACGTCTGTCCTCCCTTCTGGCATCGCAACGTTTTGAGGACCCAATCTCACTTGAAGATACAGATACAAATCACATTGGTTTGTGTTTTCTTTTTGATTTTTGTTTTACTCTGCTTTGTTGTCAGAGGAATTGCTGAAGAGAGAAGCCCAGAACTTTTCAGGCAGAAATGCGGGTATATTGTAGCAGAAGTGGCAGAGGACCACTCCTATCTACTTGGGGCTGCTGGTTCCCACTCATGCTGATGGCTGCTTCTGCACGATCCTGTGGGTCCTGGCCCACATGCTTTCCCTGAGGTGCTTCTCCTACAGGGGATGAGTTAATTCATGTATAGGCGAGGCTGGGAGTGCCAGGGCGTTAATGCCCACAGGTAGCCCTCAGTCAGTCTGATGGACATAGTTAAGTACCCCAACTTCTTTGCCCTGGGGTGGGATAACTCTGAGGCATGTTCCTAGCCATCCCCCAGAGGGTACCAGTGGGCTTGAGCCCCAGATGCTTACAGTAGTCACCTGCCCTTCAACGTACTCAATAATATCTTCCTCTCCTTCCCTTTCTAACTTCCCCGGTCTACTACTGGTGCTCCCAGGCTCACCTCCCAAACAAACTTGTAATACTTTCACAGGAATCCTCATCTCAGGGTTTGCTTCTGGAGAACACCAGCCTGAGACAAATATTTTCATGCTAAATTAGAGTCACACTGCTTATGTCAGTGTATCTCTGATCCTCTGGTCAGTATCTTTTACCGTCTTAGAAAAATGCCAGAGAATTTTGTATTTTGCCACTGGCTCAGTCATTTTCATTACATGTACATGTGCTGGCAGAGAAATCCTATTTCCTACAGTCAAATAGCTTTTTTTTTTTCAGGCCTTCTTTTTTTTGTAAGTATTTTATCAAAAATTATAAATAGCTTTAACTTGTAGTCACTGTGAACATGACTGGTATCATGTAATTTCTTGCTCAATTATTCTAAGAAGAGACCCCCACGTTTAGACGCATTTGTTTACCTACAATGATAAAATCTGTATTTGAAATAGCCATCTTTCATACAATCTCTGCTTGTTAGATCAACTGTCATGTCTCCAAATCCACTAGCTGTAGATAGAGTGACAATATTATCCCTTTCCATGTTCCATGTTCCTTGGTGGAACATCTCCAGGTCATCATCTTCTATGTACATGGTTTTCAGCTGATACATTAATTATTTTTTCTATAACCACAAAGCCGTGTTCTCAGTTTAAAGTCTAAGTGCAAATGTGTTAAGCTTAAATGTTTAAATTAAAGAATAATAGTAAAATCACAAAATAGTAAAATTTACAAAAGTAAAATAATGTTATCAGAAAATTCAGTGTCACAGGAAGTGAAGCCAAGTACAGGTATGTATTTATGAACAACATACGTATTTATGAACACAAGTGCAGAAGTGGCCAGAAGTTAAATGGATCTGTGGGAACAAACAGGTTTTTGTACAATTCAGTGGTGACCCGCATTCTCTGCCAAAAAGCCAACTTGAGAAGAAAAAAAAAATGTCACTGCAGGCAAGTTTTCTAAACTTCAAACGGGATTAGCTTTATGAGTCCCATGAGGGAGAAGTTCTACTGTAATAACTTAGATTACCTAATTCACTCAATAGGAAAACATCATAGAGCAAATAACACTAAACTTTTCATGTCTGGGAACGTTAATGTCTCATTTTGAAGTAATTATAAGTTTATAGATGTGGCAAAGAGAGCATGGAGTGGTTCTGTGGACCCTTCACCAGATCATAGCACATCTCAAAACCAGGAAACTGACATGGGTGCGATGTCTATGCCATTTCATCACATGTGTCAAGTTGAGTAACCACCACTACAATCAAAATACAGATCTATTCTACCACCACTGAGATCGCTTGGTGTTGACATTTGGTC